TATATATATATAATCCGTTTACTCTAAGAATAAGTTTACATAGATTTATTTCATTCAATAATTCATGTTTTATATCAAATTTTAATAATCCAACTGTTAATTTAAAAGTTTTTAACGCATAGATAAAATCTGCAAGTTTTTAAAAATTTGAAAATTGTTCGATACTTCGTTTCAATAATTCAAGTCAACATATAAAATATTTTTATGATTATTTGTTAATTTGAATTAATGAAATAAAGTATCATATAATTTTTATTTTTATTTTAAAAATTTGCATACTTGATTTATGCATTAAGACCTTTAAATTGAACGGTTGGATTGTTAAATATGAATTATTGAATAAAATAATTTTACGTAAACTTACTCCTAAAATAAATAAATTCTTAATTGATAGAAGAAATAACTGAACATTTCGATACTAATTGACACCTAGAGAGAGAATGAAGAAAGAAAAATATACTATAAGAGATATGATGTAAAAAAATTGAAACTAAAAAATTACAAGTTTTAATAAAATGGTTGATATATAATATATGTCTCTACCTTTCGCAATAAAAGGACCGCACCACTTTCAAGTTAAAGTTTATTAAGACACGACCATTGACAGGAGGGCTGATGAAAAAGCAAAAGCTAACTTTACTGTTTTGGTTCACAGCACAGTCTGCACTAATTAATAATGGATAACAAAGACCCACATTATAGTTAGAAACAAATAAAAGGATAAAATTTGATTATTATTATTTTTTTAACAAATAAGTCACTGTAAGTTCCGTAATTCATTCCGATCGATCCCAAGTTTTTTTTTTTTTAATACTTTGGACGAATATAAAAATGATGTAACAGAATCTAGATTATCTATATTTATATTTATATTATTTTGATGAGTAATTAAAGGATTTTTAGTAAAAAAAATTAAAAACAGTCATTTGAAATTTAATATCAATTTTAATTTGATTCTTTCTTTTTTTATTTTAGATGGTAAGATTATTTTTTAAATAACATATTCAAACTCAAACAATTAAAAAATATAGACAAAAGTATAACATAATTTATGAATCAAATATAAAGTTTTTAATGAATAATTAACAATAAAATGAATCAATGATGTTTAATTATTTTTTTTATTAAAACTTTAAATTCTCAATTTGTTATAATAGAAAAAGAATAAAGATGACAATTCGTTACAAAAAAGTACACAACAGACTAATAAACAAAAATTTACAAATTGATTGAGATTTCAGTGGAACAAAAGAGATCATAAGAGAATTAGGAAAAAATCAAAAGAATTAGAGATAAAGAAAAAAAACCAGTCCAACAAGATAACTCTTATTTATTGAGGATGAAAGAAGTGAAGAAAAAAAAAATCAATAATACATAACAGTTCAAAATAACCCTTATTTATTAAGGATGAAAGAAGTGAAGATGGAAAAAAAATCAATAATACATAACATTTTTAAAAAAAATATAATATTCAATTTATCTATCAATTAATAAGAATATATATGCAATATACACTAAATTTGTGTGTGTGTGTGTTTTATTTTTTTTTTTTAAATTATAAAATAATTTTTCCCAAATTATGATAGATTTTTGTTGAGAAATATAAATGTCACCTATTAATTGATTAATTGTTGGTGATTAATTTTTTTTATAAAACTTAATTATGTATTTTTTTTATATTTATATAAACTAAAAAAAGTTGGTGGCCCTCTGAAAATAAAGCTTTGACAATTGTCCACCTTAACCGTGTTTAGGACCACCTCTATATTCATTCTACCTATTAAATTCTTCGGCATGACCCTCACATAATTTTAATAAATAATTATTGACTTTGATAATATGGATTTGATCCGACCTTTTATATAAAATGACATATTATAAAGAAATAGACTTGATTAAGGATTTGCTTTTAATGTATTGATTTAACATTTTTTACATGACTATTTTGTTCACATAACACAAAGTATCTTAGGAATTATATAAGTATTTATTTTCTCAATTTTTTAAGAATTTGACTTTTAGTTCTTCTTAAATTTTTTGTCAACTTTTAATTCTCTATTAATTTCTTGTCCCATAAATTTGTTCTTAGAATTAAGTCTCTTTTATTAAGTGATAGTGCATGTTAATAAATCATTATTAACTCAATTATTAATATTTATGTGACATCTTAATAGATTCCAATCCATATGATAATGTAATTTTTTTATTTGTTTATAGTCAAACATTTTTTTAAAAACAAAAGATGTTAGTAAAATAATTTTTCATCTCTATTATCTTGATCGAATAATAAATTACGCATATCATATGATTTGATATCTATTAAGTAGTCATATGAATACCAATAATTAAGTCAGTTATGATTTATTAATATATAAAATCACTTAATAAATAAAACTTAATCACAATAATTAGTTTATGTGAAAGAAAATTAATAAAAACTTAAAAGTTGGTAAAAAAAATTTAAAAAATCTAAAATTTAAATTCTTAAAAAGTTGAGGAGTTAAAGACTTATTTAAAATCTTAACCCTATTGTCTTACAGTATTGGCTTGACTTTTTTACTTTGAATATTAGTTCTCATGACACAATATTTAATAGTCATTCAAAATTTCCTAGAATATATGTACTGTTAGGATACAAACAAGTCTCATATCGATAAAATAAGAGAAAAAATAATAAATTATAAAATATACTCATACTTCAATAAAAGAGAGACCTTTTGAGTAATGACTAAAAGTAAAATTGTAAGGACTTAAGCCCAAAGCGGATAATATCTCATCATTGTGGAGTATGTTTGTGTAATACTCTTACAAAAAAAAACCTCATAAAAATATCTCCTTAGCCAAATACCATGAAATAACCCCAACAATGGTATTAGAGCCAAGTTGGATGTGGTAACAACCCTCATAACCCCTAATAATTCATAACATATAATGTGATATATAAAGACAGATTCCACGACATGAAATGTTAGATCCCTGAGCCGTAAGGTTGGATGCGAAAACAACCTTCATAACTCATAACATATAATATGATATATAAATACAGATTCTGTTACATGAAAGGTTAGGTCCCTTGTTTGAAGGGATGATTGTTAGGAACAAACAAGTCTTACATCGATAAAATAAGAGAAAAAATAATAAATTATAAAATATATTCATACCTCAATGAAAGAAGGACCTTTTGGATAATGACCAAAAGTAAAGCCGTAAAGGCTTAGATCCAAAGCGGACAATATCTCATCATTGTAGAATATGCTTGTGTAATAATCTTATAAAAACAACTCTCATAAAAAAATCTCCTCAGACAAATACTATAAAATAACCCCGAGATGCACCCTATACCAGAACTGTCACAATCATTCCACCAACCTTTCAGTGTAAGCTCTATCCATGATACAATATCGATCACGACTGAGATAGTTGGATATACCTTCTCTTAATAAGAGATTCCAATGAAAGAATGTGCTCAACTACTGCCTTTGCTATCTCTAGAATCCACACAGAAACAATTTCTTTCTTTTCAAATATGGTAATATTAAAACAGATCTCGCTTGGAACTGCTATTTTTAATTTTAACATAATCAAATGTTTCAGACTATACCCTTAATTTATGTTATTGAGTTAATTAATGGTATTATGTAACCTAAAGTCTGGCATGATGAATGATGAGAAAAGAATGAAGAGGAAATAAAGAGTATTATTACAACGATACATAGACAATGAAGTGCATCCAATTCTTCTGTCTGTATTTATATTCTTTATGAGATCATATATTATTTCATGTAACCTTTAGGAAATCACAAGTTGGTGACCTCTTGTCCCAAAAACATGCAAACCATGTTTACCTGTGTGGTAGACTATTCTGTATGTGAGCATTGTTTGATGGCACCTAATCTCCTTGCAAACATGGACACCATTGGCCCTGAATCTCTGAATCCTGGGAAAGGTGTAAAGGAATTGAACTTATGCTTTTCTGGGTGAAATTGATTTCCCTTATCAACCTTAATGGAAGTGGAATCCTCTCTATTCATACAACAATCGTGTATACTTTTAGCCTCACTGAGCAGTTGGTCCTCAATCTTGCAGTTGTTCAGAGAAATGTGTTCATGGGAATGTGGAAGCGTTGTGCAAGCTGTGGAATGGACTTCTGAACCACTTCTCTCATTAAGGTGATCAAAAACTATTAAGGGGGAAGTTGACTTTGGTAAGAAACGAGTTATCCAGAGACCTTCTTTTCTCTCATACAATGCATAAGACTCAACATTCATATTATTATTTCTATTTCGTCTAGTTGAGGGTGAATGTAGTGACAGTAATGTCATTCCTTCTTTCTCCTTACTATGCCCCAAGTTGTAACAAGTTTCATTCTCCACTGAGTTATTTTTCCAGTGTTCATCACTATTGGGAGAATTTTTAGATCTAGTCTGAGGTTGTATGGGTGGACAGGCATCAACTCTTCCTTCAGATACTTCAAGCTTGTTTGATTGCAAATTCTGTCTGTAGAGGCTATTGTTCTCTGCATAAAAGGTTATTGGAGTAACATCTATTCCATGAACCTTGTTATCCAGCTCAAAATCTTTAGAAGCCTCTCCTACGTGAGACATTCTTGTTCCAACATTTTTAAATTTTGCACCAACCATGGACTGAAAATTGGATCTGAACCCTGCATTTTTTAGCTCTGGATCTTGATTCTTATTGCATGTAAGAAGTTTCTGATCAGGCCGCTGATTCAGGTGATTAGGATTTTCAAGGTTAAGAGCCAAAGACTTATCCTCATCTTGAGTTGTTTGTGAGCATCCTTTCATCATGTTTGAAATCAGGTTCATGAATGAACTATCAGGTTTAACATTGGATTTAGAACATGAAGTTTCTTGAATTTGCTTTTTGACTTTTTTACGTCCAATTATCACTTGGTGAAAGTTGCATCTCTTCTTACCTGCCAAAAACAACCCAGCACTGTGGCAGCTTTCAACACTTAAATGGAAGTCATCCTCCTTTGATAAACTGTCATTTGAATTCCCATCTGATAAGGACTTCTCCTTACCATCATTTCTTGTCATATGAATCATGCTATTACATGGAGAAGGCACGGCTGGAAGGTTCTTATTGCATAGTTGCGTCATTTCTTCAGTCCCCATCTGATAAGGTTCTGAGAAGGCATGCTCAACGCTAGTATATAATCCATCTTCTATATCAATCACGTGGTTGACAACACCAGTATCTATGCCTCCATTGCAATGTTTCCTCGGTGAAGGATTTTCTTCCATGCTACATTTAGGTTCATCTTCTTGAAGTAATAAATTACTGACTGGCCTTTCGTCAACCTGACCTGAAGAAAAATCATGAGGCAGGTGATATTTCAGGCATGCATAAAAGAATGAACTTGCATTTTTCTTTAACAAAAAGTTTCACATAGTGTCCTTTAAACATAAAGGCAATGTATTGAATTTAGAACCTGTGTGTTCAGCGAAAAAAAAAAAAAAAAAACTACCAGAATAATGAGAATTATTTTCTATGATCCAGAAAAATTGATATAAATTGTTTACAAAAAAAAAAAAAAAAAAAGAGAGAAATGAGAACGTGCTCCAAGAATTCTTGTCATGCCAGTAGCATATAAGTGATGATGACAGCACATACCTGAAATAGTAGATTTGTTTCCCTTTATCTCAGATATTATAGCTGTTCCAATGTTGGCTTGAGCAAAAATATTCTTCTCCTTCTCCAATTCATTCATTACATTCTCCTTCTGACCGTTTGGCAAATTAGGTGTTTCTCTTGCAGTGTTCATTTTCTCCATATTATCACCAAATCCTGCCAGACCATAGTTCTCTGGGATTGAGCATAAGTAGTTTACAGGAAAAAAAAAGTTACAAGAAGGAAACCAAACAAATTGACAAGTCCGAATAAACTATTTAACTAATTAGGATAACATATTTATTCTTTCTCCTTCAATAAGGCTTACTTGAACTCAATGATATACTTCAAATCCACCTTTCCCTACATCTATAGAAACCACAACAGATGTTACTTTTACCTGTATCATGATGCTCTTCACATGTTTTATGATCTGGAATGATGATGGCTGAATCACTTTCTGGTTGCATAGCAGGAGTATCTCTGGAGGAAACATCACTCTTTGAGCATATGACAGCAATAGGTTCTACAAAAACGTCATCTAGTGGTTTATCTGTGGTAGAGATTCCATCATTAACGCTTTGGAACAGTGCAAGAACCATACTGCTTGGTTCAACATTGCCAAAAAGGGAGGTGTTTTTGTTGGTAAAACTTGAATCAACACATTTGAGACTGAAACCGTTATCTGGAGACCAAATTACCTTCCCCTACATCTATAGAAACCACAACAGATGTTACTTTTACCTGTATCATGATGCTCTTCACATGTTTTATGATCTGGAATGATGATGGCTGAATCACTTTCTGGTTGCATAGCAGGAGTATCTCTGGAGGAAACATCACTCTTTGAGCATATGACAGCAATAGGTTCTACAAAAACGTCATCTAGTGGTTTATCTGTGGTAGAGATTCCATCATTAACGCTTTGGAACAGTGCAAGAACCATACTGCTTGGTTCAACATTGCCAAAAAGGGAGGTGTTTTTGTTGGTAAAACTTGAATCAACACATTTGAGACTGAAACCGTTATCTGGAGACCAAATTATTTCAGATAGAGGGTCAGTGGCAGGAAATGGCTTGTTTATTCTACAAGCCGCATTTGCACCTGCACCTGGCTCATTTTTCCAGATGCACTGATTAGAATAATTTAGAACGAGTTCAATATCACTCTTTGGTTTTATTGTCTTGCTTTCTGAACTCATCTTCAACATCTGGTAGTCAGCAGAAGCTCCTGCAATATTATAACAACCAAAATTAGCCTTTTATGTAGTAATCTGAATAAAACATCTGTGTAGGCTTGTATTGCAGGATGTGAATGACAAATGGCAACGCAACTAGTTCCTTAACACCAAGTTTGCCATCAAATTATTTGATTAACTTATAGGTTAATCAAGACATAAAAACGTGACTCCCTTTGATACAACATTACAACATTATACCCCCGTCCTGAAATTCTGAATATATTCATGATATTCCCAATAATTTTGTGCACATGTGATGCTTGGAATCACAAACAACAATTGTTTACAAAACTTAAATGGGCATTGACCAAAATTATCCATCAAATAAATATTTTTACAAAATTTAATCCTTCCAAATAAAATATTATACTATGGGTTCCTCCTACTATCAACTCATGATGTTTTCCATTTTAACATAACTTACCATATATTCCTTTTTTGTTTTCCCAAATTCAGCTTATCATCTGTGTGATGTGTAGAGTTCAAAACAAAGCATTATCAGCGCGATTCTATGTAGTCTAAGACAATGATTTGAGTGTACATAAGAGAACAAAAACTTCTCACTAAACACAATGATGAAAGAACACAAAACTATAAAAAAAAAATGGAGACAAATCACATAAATTTATTTAATGTTACCTATATATCCATAACATCTCAGTGGATATTCATTATCTCAAACTTCATTACAGGTTTTTTCGACAAAACTTGATCAATGTTCCCTTCATATGACTCCTCTCTCTCATTTAGGATGATTTCTTCGTTATCGTTGGGCATAAGGAAATCGATAGGTGCAGGGAATAGATAAATAGATGTGTTCAAGACCTCAAGCTAATTCAAAGTCAATTGTTGATACATATTAATTGCAAATAAGACCAAATAGTATAAACTTCTGATCGTAAGAAATGAACGTGATGCACACCCTACAATCACGTGAAAAGAAGCAAGCAAAAGAAAAAAAATACAAAAGATAAACTATAAAAACAGAAGTATTAGATTCTTTTTTTTTCTTCTTTTTATCATAAAAAGTTGATCATATATAACTCTAGTGCAACAAGTTCAAAACTGAACAAGGCATTAAGCAAAACTAAAAATTGAGGTGACGTACATACCCGTTGAATGCTGATTATGAAGCAAAAAGGATATTTGGTTTGGTGGTGTGTCTGGTCGTCAGAGAAAGAAGAGAATCCACTTGCAGTTACCAAACGTCCTGCTATGGCATTAGCTGTCACATGAAGCTGTTCATGCGAGGTCTACGATCTGCCACGTTGAAACATGTCATTCCACGAAAGCTCCTGCATTATTCTATTAGGATGTATGTAGTTGCTTGACCAACTTTCCATTATTTGCTTTTAGGCCTTTTCTTTTACATATTTCAAGTAAACCAATCCTTTCAATGTCATTTTTCTTTAGCAAGATTCGGAAGAATAAATATACTCTTATACTATAAATAAAAGTACACACACAAACATTAAATCCAAATAATCGTATCAAACACGTTATCATGAAGCGAGGGAGCAGTTTGCAATTTGAGCAAATTGACATGTAACAAATCCCAGCCCTCCATTGAATATCCATTAATCATTATCCAACGGTAATGGATTACGGACACTAGAAAGGTTTAGTTACAATCAGCATTTGGTTGTGATGTGAGGTCAAACATCACACTGAATATTCTGGCTGTTGATGCTGAGTTATCGTTTGCTCATCGATTCATCCATTCTCACTTGTTGACACTTGACACTCTCATTTATTCACAACCCATTCATTAATCTTATCATAACTCTTTACTAGTTTCAAAACCAAAGACACCGGAAACAAGGGGCTACTCATAACACACGTCATCCAGCCCATGTGATTCCAATGTTTTATTTTCTTAACATGCATATTTTTAAGTATATTAGACTTGTGATAAACAATTATATTGTAACACAAGATTAATAATTTATTTTAAAACATGAAAATTTAATCTATAAATAATTATGATTGGACCGTCTCGCCGTGTTTGTTATTAAAAGGAAAATGAGACTCATAGAAGATAACATCTCTAGAGACAAAAATGTCTTTATTTTGTAAGTCTAAAATAATATAGCCTTTTATGCCAAATTGATAGCCGAGAAAAACTCCTTCTCTAGACCTAGGATCAAATTTCTATTTGGGCCTAGAGGTTGAAGCATAACATAAAGAACCAAAAACTTGTTGAGATTTCCGTTAAAATCACTTTTGTTATCACTTTAAATTACTTTTTATTTTGTTAACGGTCTCAAACACGGCAAGTATACCGGTCGTTTAAGTAGTAAAATTATCGTATCCACAGGGATTAGAAGGTAACATAAGCATTTAATGACTATTCGTGACTAAAGAATAATTCCAATTTCATAGTTTGTGAAATGATTTCAAGGTTAAGACTATTGGAATGAAAGCTATAAATAAATATTGGTTTGTGAGTGGAAAAGGTAGAAATGATATTATGGTTTTGTGAGATTGTAGGGTCAGATTTCACCAAACGTCAAACTAATGAATCCTTAATCTTTTGTTAAATTCATTGCTTAGTCAACCCAATAGTTTACTCAAACCTAATCTCTTAGAGCAAGAGCCTAGATGCGGATATTGAATATCGATTCCCTTTCCTTCGGTTCTTCATTTCTCCCTTCATCTCTATTTTGTATTTGCCCTCTTTGTTGAGTGGTTTCACCCATTTTTTGTGGGGTTAGATGTAACCAACAAATTCTATTGTAATCCTTACGTTTTTAATGATATATATACATGTTGTTTCATTCATTGTTGTGTATGTTTCTATTCTTAATGCTTGCTTTGGATTGAATCTCCTTGCATGATATAGGTTCCATTAGGTATTGGAAAATAACCTTTGACCACATCCTTGGCCGAGAGACGTCTCGGGAGGGAAGACTTGTAATGAAAGCCACGTCCTTGGCCGAGAGACATCTCGGGAGGGAAGACTTGTAGTTTGAAACGAAAGTCACATCCTTTGATTGATTTGGTTTGGTCTCTATGTTGTAGCAAACAAAATCCGTAAGTCGAACATTGGGTTTAGAGCCACGAGTGGTTCGTCTTGGTATGAAAGGAATAGGGTTTGGATGGTGATGAAGAGATATGTGGCGAGATTGAATGGGATGGAGAAGTTGATGGCAAAATTTGTGGAGAGGATGAGGTTGTTGGGGAAGGTAAAGTTTGAGGTGAAATGGGAGTTTGTGATGGAAGTTGGTCCTGAGGTGTAAAATGGAGAGGATCAAAGTCATGGAATGTCTTTATTTGTGGAGGAAATAACTTTTCTTTTTCTTGGGCTTCGTGTTTGTTATTAAAAGGAAAATGAGACTCATAGAAGATAACATCTCTAGAGACAAAAATGTCTTTATTTTGTAAGTCTAAAATAATATAGCCTTTTATGCCAAATTGATAGCCGAGAAAAACTCCTTCTCTAGACCTAGGATCAAATTTCTATTTGGGCCTAGAGGTTGAAGCATAACATAAAGAACCAAAAACTTGTTGAGATTTCCGTTAAAATCACTTTTGTTATCACTTTAAATTACTTTTTATTTTGTTAACGGTCTCAAACACGGCAAGTATACCGGTCGTTTAAGTAGTAAAATTATCGTATCCACAGGGATTAGAAGGTAACATAAGCATTTAATGACTATTCGTGACTAAAGAATAATTCCAATTTCATAGTTTGTGAAATGATTTCAAGGTTAAGACTATTGGAATGAAAGCTATAAATAAATATTGGTTTGTGAGTGGAAAAGGTAGAAATGATATTATGGTTACTCGTGATTGTCGGCAAAAGTCCGACTGGGCGAGTATATAAATAACTCGAAGACCAAACTCGTGATTGATCGGTAAAAATCCGACTGGGCGAGTATAAATAACTCGAAGACCAAACTCGTGATTGATCGGTAAAAATCCGACTGGACGAGTATAAATAACTCGAAAACCAAACTCGTGATTGATCGATAAAAATCCCACTGGGCGAGTATAAATAACTCATTAGACGTTGTAACTTGGTCATTTTCATCACCAAAAAAAGTCAGAACTTGGGCGATCATCCCATGTGATATTGAATTCTTAACTTGGATTATTTTTCAATGGTAATGCAGATCGGTATATGGACGACTGCCTTTCTAAAAAAAAAAACTCATAATTTACCGAAGCATTTGAGGTGCTAGATAATTCAATACATGATAAATTAATCATTTAAGGTGCTAGATAGGTCATCATGATTGAAAAAAAAAATCTGCAAATGACATAAACAACAATTTCACATTAATAACTAGTTTATTTTGTTTGGAAGTCAAACATATCTCGTTAGACCACTTTCCTTCAAAATGTGGGAACCTCGCATTTAAAATAAATATTTGGGAGGAGAAATATAATGTTAGATAAAGGATCACTTTTGAAACAAATGCCAATAAGATACATGATAAAAAAAAATCTCTTTTTATATCTTTTAATCAAATTATACGCTTTTATGATAATCTTGTTCACATATCCATCGTCTGCTGGTTCAATCTTCTATCAAGAAAAACTTGGATACAATTTCGTAGTACTATAGGAAATTACAACTATAAAACCATAAGAAAAATATTAGATACTATTGACAAACAAAATAGTCTCTTTTTCACGAGAGTAAGTGTTCAATATAAAAGAAAAATAAATTTAATGTACAATTTAAACTCACGTTTTTATTTTGAAGTTTCCATTCTTGACGAGACAAAGAACTACAAGAGTTTTGTTGTTGAGGTGAACCAAAGTATTTGCGAAGTATCTGCAAAAACAAGACCATGAGTTATCGAAAACCACTAATCCATGGAGGGTCCCGCTTGGGATTAACATGGATTGGTGAATCATTTAATAAAATTGTTAGTTCGATGAGGTCTCAGTTTGAGAATAAGTCGTTCTAACAATCCATCATTTTTCAAAACTTAAAAAGAGTCCAACCATCGTCGCGAATGCCAAGGTCCGTTTCGGCGGGTGGCGACACATCCAAGCCAAATGTTGGCCTCAACACATCCAACCCGAGTTTGTGAACATGTCACCTGCCCATGTCACACGCCTAACCTCTCATGGAAAATACACAGTTGGATTACGTCGTCACGTAACCCTGGTAGCAAATAGAATGCTCAGAGGAGTACTTTGGAATCCACCTAACATCTGAAGTGGTTTATTATATAATCTTTGAAAAAGTTCCATATTGGAATCCTCACCATGGGACTCCCAAATTCCATATTTTTCAAAAGATTATATCCAGACCTCACCAAGAGATCTCCCGATCCATATCATAACCTTACTCCTTTAAGTCCTATTAGCTTTCCAAACCAAACACACAAAAACATACTCCATAATTACATACAATATTCCCCATAACCATGCCACATTCCATACCAAATATATAACATCAAAAGAGGTATGATTCAACATTTAAAAGTTTCATAACAACTCAATTATAAAAGGTTTTTCTCAAAGAAACCACGTGCCCAACATAGTGGTATTTGCACTCAGTGCAGCCAAAACTGGGAGCTTATCAGGCTTTGCCCACTCAGTGCGTCACCATAGGTGCAAAGCCCATGGCTATATGCGCTCAGTGTATAGACTAATGCACTGAGCGCGCTTGAGACATAGAGCCACCAGAAACTGCCCGCTTAGTGCATAAACCCATGCGCTCAGTGCGCTCAAAATAGAAAGCCATGTTCTTTAACGCGCTCAGCGCGTTATCGCCTGCGCTCATCGCATAGGTTAATAGAAAGTTCTGTTCTTCAGTGCGCTCAGCGCGTTGTCGGGTGCGCTCAGCGCGCATGAATCAGACAACGCGTTAGAAGTTCAAAAACTTCAATTTTCACCCTCAAATCCATCCAAACATGAATCCCGAACCAAATTACACAATTATAAACCCTTATAGAGTATAAACACCATCCAAAAACAACATATTAAGTGATAAAATCAAGTATTAACCATTAATCCATGAAAATCATGAAGAAATCCAACCAAACCCTTTCCACTCAATCCAACCTCAATCATGCATAAATCAAGTACTACCTTTACCTCAGAAACCTTAGAAATTCAAGAT